CCAAAAAAAAAAAAATCCATCTTTGGAATATTCAGTAGAAAAATATCTCTGTAAAAAGCCTGCGAATTTACTATTCAACACTATTCATTTCCGCGATATACTTTTCACCCTTCTCCCATTTACTGCTGCTAATTACTTCTCACTTTCCCTCACTTAAAAAAAAATAAAATAAAATCTAAAATAGAAACTGAGCGCACAAGCGAAGAGGGAAAACGTACCTCTCTTCTAAATGGCAACTCTGCTCTCAAATTGCTCAATCCCATTCGTTTTCAGGTGAATCCCTTCAAAAATCTCTTCAGTCTGATTGTTTTCAGTTGAGTTCATGCTCAGATCTTTGCTTTTTCTGGCGTTTTTGGTTTCTGATTCGATTCAATTTGTGGAAAAGTTGTGATCTTGATCGAATGTTGTGAGATTGCGATGTCTTTTGACGGAGAGGAGGCTCGATGGATGTGTGGGAGATCAGGGGTTGTGAATCTGCAGAGAGTGAGCTCGATCGTGAGAGAGATGAGGGAGCCTTGTCTTCACTCGCCCAAAAAGGTCGTTATTATTGTTAATCTTTTTTTGGAATTAGATCTTAGTTTTTGATGGATTTCTTCTATTTTCAGTAATTAGAAGGACTGATGAGAAAATGGATTTTTTTTTTGTAATTTATAGTAATTAGCATGAGAAGCTATATATGGTAATACTAGTAGATGTAAAAGTGCAAGCTTGCTACGAATTTGATTACAGTGCTCATTTGATTCAGAGGTATTAAGCAAAGTTCGAAAGAGGATAACTTGGTTGGAAGCAATCAGAAATGATATGATAATAGTTAGCTTAACAGAGGATATGGCCCATAGTAGAAATGAATGGAAGAACATACTTCAGGTAACTGACCCTGAAAATTTGAGGTGAAGATTTTGCTGTTGTAGAAAGATTTCAGTTTGTATACAAGTCCTACTTGAGTTACTACGCGTTTAGGATTGGAAAATTTATTATTGTTTGAAATTTTAGTTTAGTTGTAGGAAATTTTGTTTATTTAGATTAGGTCCTTTTGGGCGTTTAAATGCACATCATATTATTATTTTTCTTTAGTTAAGAAGCTTGATTTTGATAACTTTGTTAAAGATGAATCTATCCTAAGCTTGCATCTTGTGGATCATAGTTTTAAAAAGCGGTCTAGGTGTCCGCCTAGGCCTAAGCAGCACTCAGGTCATCTGTCTCGATCTTGGGAGTGCCTAGGTGAGCATGGGTCGCATGCAGAATGCAAAACTCAGGTCGTAGTCTTATTTCCTCCGTTGCCATCTCTATGTCCACCAACCTCGCAAGCCACCCCCACCTGAACACCTCGTCCTCCTCTGAACTTTGGAAATATCGTATCCACCTACAGCAAAAAAAAGAAAACCATCTAGGCTCCACCTAGGCCCCACCTAGGTGCTGGGCGCAGTGTCGATGCCTAGCGGAGCCTAGTGCTTTTCTGTAACATTGAGACACTGAATCCTCTTATCCGAACACCCAGCTTGTGCAAGAGTAACTAGCAGGTGATGTTCCAACATTTTGAAACAGAACATGTTACATAAGTAATGCTCTGCACTAGTAGATTCATAAGGTAGTGGGTGCAACTTGGGTGACATATGGATCAAATTGATATGCTTGGCTGACATAAAATTTGACCCATGCGCAAAGTGATGATTGATGACGACCATAAGCATAGAACATTTCCACTCAAGGATGACTAATGGTGCAAAACTGATTTTTGTAGAAGCAGGCAACAGATTTAATGCCATAATCTGGTTGAAAATCATGCTGGTTATAATACTAGCTAAAGAGTCTGATGATTTTTAATTTTATGTGCACTAAAGTCTCTTCTTTCATCAAATATCTAATGCTGAATAACACACCACCTATAACACAATAAGAAGTAGCACCCATTTGGATATCATATATATTAAAGAAAATTAAAAGTATTAATCAATGTATTTTCTTTAATAGGACACTAGTATTTCAAGTTTGTGAGTTCAATTGTCAAGTAATATTTTGAATATTTCTTCATCCAAGCACGCATAACGTTGTGAGTTGCAAAAATTTCTCTTTTTTGTCCTTTATTCTGCAGGGAAGCAAAATGCTAAAGCCAGAAAAGTGGCAAACAGTTTTCAACAGTGATGGAAAGGTTTTAGCTTTTCAGAAAGTACTGAAGCTAATTATCTTAGGGGTAAGTTTATTGAACAATTATAGATAATAGCATACTATATTTACTATATGAAATTTTAAATGATTTTCAAGGATGCATCAAGTATGTATTATGCACTTATATTCAAGTAGTTATGCATGTATAACTAGTTCATATTATTAAATTCATATTTTTTTAGTTTAAATTTCTTTATGTTCTCTTTTCATCATCAAAGCTTTTTTCATATCGGCTAAGGAACATGATTAGAATTATTAGTCAATAAATCTTTAAAAAGGAATTTGGCATTTTCACGGTATGCTCAAGCTTAGACTAACCCTCTTGGAGATGATGTCAAAATTTTGGCAAGAAAATGATAAGCAAGTGAATGCCATGCCAATAAACCTTGATAACCAGTTTAGATGATGCCATTTGAGCTAACACACCAAGTAGCAAGTCACACATTTCGTTGACATAATTTCTCAAACGGAATCGCACTCATACGAGGCATGTGGAGCCAAAGAGACAAATGTGAGTGGAGTTTTAAGGTTCTGTCTGCTCCAAACGCCAATTTCAACCATTCAGTAAAATAAAACTGGTAGTTGAGGGCTTGAGGTTGACTAGTGAAGAATATCAGGAGATTCTCTTAATCTATATCAGTAGACAGTGACACTTGGCCTTTTTGTTCTTTAGAAACTGGATACCTGCTCAATCTCTTGTCATCCATGACTTTCTCCCTCACTGCCTTCCTCGTGGTGAGTGGTTGGCCATCTGAAAATGAATGTAAAAGTGTGAAAGTTACTTTCGGCCGCGTAACATAGGGGCCTACGCTATGGAGAACTCGGCCAAAATATGGACACCCGAAGGGCCCAGCACGCACAATCCTATCCTATCCGAGCCCATCATTGCACTTCAGATAGCCGTCCGTAGCATCATAAGGAGCACCTCCCTTTCGAGGTACCACTTTTGTACGGTCTTTATTTGTGTTGTTGGTTGGTCTTTCTCAACGTGGTGTATAGCACGAAAAACCATTCTTTACATGATAGGGCCGGTTCTTTTTGACAGCCTAAACTCCTCCATTTGTCAGCCATGGGGAACTACTGCCTTTATGTCAGAGGCGGGGGAGGGAAAAGCTTGGGCCTACGTATTCCGATAGGACCCTATAAAGGGAGCAGTTGAGAGGTTCCAGCCGAAGGGCAGAACTTCTGTACGTGATTGTAGTATGTCACGTCTCATCCTCGCAGCATCGAAGAGTACCTATGCGCTATGTTCCGGTTCACTGATAAGGAAGATAGAGTTGGGGTGGGGGTCTACGATGTGATACTTATAGTATTTCCCGGGGAGAAAGATGTGCAACTCAAAACGGAAGCAGGAACCATGTTGTAAAAAATTTCGGGGGTTACAGATCTCTGAGACTACCATCGATCCGACAGAGCGGAACGACCAGAAAAAGAAGTTGAGTTAGAAAGTCGTATGATAGGTGGTAACTATCTTGTACGGTTCGGGAGGTAATCGGTGTACTCCGATCAGTGGGGGGAATATTTGGCTCTATCGAACATTCAGGGAATTGGATGTAGCATTCCACCGATGTCAAGTCATGGACTGGTTCCTCCAGCCCTTTTTCTATGTGTTGGTGTTCTATATGACTGACATAAGACTCGACTTGTTAGATATTATGGAGGTTCAGTGAGCACCATGCTGAATCTCCCTACCAATTCCTTCTCTTCCACTTTGGCCAATATGAGTTCACCTGGTACTAGCAGCTTTATAGGGGAATTTCCAATCTCAGTAGGAAGTGGAAAATGTAAAACTAGGCACACTATAGGATAATGTAAAAGAAGTTGAGTGGGAAGCTCGAAGATCCAATATGTTTGGCAAACAAAGTATTTGAGGGATATTTGGGGAATATCAAAGATCCAATATGTTTGGCAAACAAAGTGGAAAATGTAAAACTAGGCACACTATAGGATAATGTTACAATTGTGAAGGTGTCACTTCAGGTCTTAAAATTGTGAGCTGGGAGATTTAATTGTGAAATTATCTTACTGTATGGGGTCACATAGGAGACAAACCTTGCATATGAAAAGTGTCACTTCCACACTTTCACCATCACTTCAAAATTGTGAAACACCCCAAATGTTAATTTTCTTGAGCTGTTCTTTGGCCAGAAGGGGATTCGTGACCAGAGCACAGTTTGTTGTCTTTGTCTGAGTGTACCACTTTTCTGTAAAGCGATAGTGTAACCTGAGATATGAATTTAAAACGATCATACTTGATTAGACTAACCAGGGCCTCAGCTTGGCCAATCCTGAGTTGCTAATGAACTAAAAATCAGGTTGGTGGAAATCACACCTGATATTGTGTCAGGTGATTGAGGATTCTGAAGTTGGTTTGGCTTTGATCTTAGACCCCATCTGCAAGTTGTAGTCTTACTTGCAGAGATACGCAATTCTAAATTCTAAGGTGTCTTGATTAAGAGGTCAAGTTGCTATCATATGAAGTTCAAGAACACGAAAACAATGTCAATTAGAGCTCACAAACGTACAGAAAGCATTGCTTATGTGTTGTAACTTTTTACATGGAGGGGAGATGCACTACTTTGCCAACTAAAAAAATTCTAACTGAGCTATACTGTAATTTAATATGAAAATAACTGATTTGTAAAATTCTTTCTTTAAACGGAAATGAACTTTCCCTCCAGGTGGTAACTCTAGATTTAATATCAAACTGTAAATTAGTTGATGGCATCTTTTTTTTTCATGCTCTTCTTTTTCTGCATAAGCAGGGTGTGGATCCTTCTATACGTGCAGAAGTGTGGGAATTTCTTCTTGGATGCTATGACCTGAATAGCACAGCTGAGGACCGAAAGCAGCTGAGAATGGCTCGGAGGTTTCTTTTTTAAAACTCTTCTCTATCATATTCAGTAGTTATTTATGAGCTAACTGTATAAGACCATTATCTTGTGTTAAGTCTATTAAACAGCCACAGCTTACTGGTCTGCTGAGGTTTAATATCATAATCTCTTACAGATAAACTGGAAATTTTGAAATCAGCTGTATTAGGTATATAAAACAGGTCTATGACAGAAGAATTTGCTCTTATCTTAATTAATTTATTACCGTTAGTTTGAGTGTACTGATGCTCAACAGGGCTTGTGCTAGGTTTAAACTTCATGGCCATCAAACTTAGGATGTTTATGACTTGTGATACATATGGTTCTAAATCTCCCTCTGCTGAAAGGTCCATTTGTTCTTGAAACTGTGGAGCTGCCTCTCGTTAATCCCATTTTTTGATATAGGAGAATAGGAGTTTATATTGATATTCTGTACCGGGGATATACCTAGAGAACCAGTAATGGCTTTGCTATAGTTGGATTTCACGATTCTACAATCTTAGGAGGTTTCAAGCATGTGCACATTCTTCGCCCTTGTGCTTGTGTCATATTGATAAGGCATTCTGGGGATATACCAAGAGAACCATAAATGGTCATATGTATTTAGACCAACTAGTTGAGATGCACGTGCAATGCACGTGGTTGAATACCATGAGTTGAGATGCACGTGCAATGCACGTGGTTGAATATCATGATTATTTAAATTGTTAAAAATAGAGTAAAAATAAAAAACAAAGTTTTTTTGTGGGATTGATCATCAACTCAATAATCTCTCTCTCAAATAAAATATTGTAATTGTTTCCTTCAACCCAGAATTTGGTTACGTGATCCACTATTTGTAAGTTATAAACACATTAATTTAGTACAACATCTCTATTTATTAGTATCTTGAAGTCTTCAAAAGATGGGTGACATTCAATTCGCAAAAGAATTTTACATATGAATTTACTTGCAATATGTCCATTAAATTTTTAGTTTTGACTCATATTCATGTTAACTTTAGTTGATGTTTCGCTCATATTTATATTGTCTAATATTCTCATTCAATTTTATAGCTCATTCTCTGTATCATAAAAGTAAATTTGAAAGTATAAAGAATTTTTTTTTCAAAATTAGAACAGGGAGATTATGATATATTTCGCCATGTGCTCTAAATATAAAGTTTTTTTTCTTTGATGCAAGGTCCTTATCAAATGTTACCCCAAAAGATGTGAATGAAAAATGCTATTGTAACTCACTTACCTAGGACAATTATATTGTATATAGAATACATAACTCATCTAGAATATCCATATCTCCTAAGTGGATTTTGCTGTTGTGAGAGCAACATGTTAGAGGTTCGTATTTAAATTTTTTGGCTCTATAAAAGACATAATAATTTAGAGTGTATAGCTTATATATCGTAAAGAGTATATTGATTCATGAAGAATTTTTTTCTAATAATAATATTATTACAATGATATTACTATTCAATATTAAATCAATTTTATTATATAAGATTATATGACCTTTTTAAATAAATTATAAAATATATATGGAAATCTCGATGCTTATAGCCAGCAATTGGGCTTCACAAAATAGGTTAACTTTTACATTCTAGTTTGCTATTTGTAGTACTGTTAGTAATGTCATTACCTTTCATCTTTATCTTATTATTCATATTTTTCTGATGTAAGTTCTCTTTTGATAATCATTCAATTGGTTATATTTAATTTTTATAATATCAGAGGTTAGAATATTTTCTTCTATTTAAAAAGTGTTGACATAATTTTCTTAAAAAATATATGCCCATAGTAACAATAGTATATACTTCAGTACAACTCAAATATTAGTTTGAAGCCATTTAGAGTGAGGTCATTTCTATGCTAGAATGATGATATAGTGATTACACAGTCTAAAAGTCAAAGAAGAAATTTCTACAAAGAAAAAGTAATTTACTATGTCAAATTAAGAACTAATTTATAAAATATACATGGACAGTGCAAATAGCTATAGAAAATAAGGTATATATCTTCATAAAAGTTTCATAGTAAGTGACCAACTACAATCATTCTAATTTAAGCATAAATAATTATTATTTTAGTTACTAATTTGATACGTGTAACTATGAAATAAATCTTTAGAAAAAATAGGAATTGAGATTGTATTATACTGTAGGTAAATAAATAAATGTTATTAGAACTCCTCTTTATATTGAATTTAAAAGTAATAATTTAAATTATTAAGCACCAAATGTTAGCTCATGTGAGAAAATAAAGTAATATATGGCCTATATACGTATATAGTCAATCAATCAAACATATTAAAATTATAATGGTCACAAACAAAATTATATGGTAGGTTCACATTAAATATAACTTGTAAAAAATAGTACGTTAAAGTCGAAATCTTTTTAACCACTACATAGATTATTTGAAAATGTTTGCATATATAAACTATACTGTCTAGGAATAGTGATGTGCACACTTAACTATGGTCTAATAATCTTAAAAACGACCCATTCTTCAATATCATCATTAATTGATGTATATGTGCATTACCCTGAAAACACAATAAAATTTAGAAAACTACAAAATAGACACCCTCAAAAGTTTTAAAAAGTGTGAAAAAACACCCTAAAATTTATAATTTACAAATATACAAAACTATTAAACAATACATTAAAATCAAGGAATTACAAAAAAATTATTGAAAATTTTTAAACTTTGGAGGGGTAATTTGCAATGTACTAAACTTTTAAGGCTATTTTTTATAAATTTTAAATTTACTAGATTTTTAATTAATTATGTTCTTTTCAAAAAAATTATGGGTAATATTTACCATGAATTTTTTTTAAACCTATACTTTTAAAAGGTGTATGATATTTTTTGCAAAATTTTAAATTTTTAGGGGTGGTTAGTAATTTTGCATATTCATTTTAGTGTCTATAGGTTAGAAATTCTCATGAAGTTTTTTTGTAAATTATGAATTTTAAGGATTTTTTTATAATTTTTTAAACTTATAGGTCTTTTCTACAGATTGTAAATTGTTTATAGACTATTAATACTTCCTATGCTTTCAATTTACTAATGAATTTGAAATTTTCAGGTTATTTTTTTTAAAATTTAAAATTTAAAGGATTGTTTGTAATTTTTAAAACTTTAAAGAGTGTTTTTATAAGTTATAAATTTATGTAGGGATATTTTTTAATGTACTATTAGGTCAGAAATTATCAAGATTTTTGTAAACTTTACAATTTTGAGGGTTTTATTTTGCAATTTGTAAAAAGTTCAAAGTGTGTATTGTAAATTCTAAAATTTTTTGGAGGTTGTTTGTGTTATTTGTAGGTTTTTAGTATGTTTATAAGTTTGACATTTTCAAGGTGTTTTTTATAAATTTTAAATTTTTAGAGGTGTTTTTGTAATTTTTAAAACTTACAAGATATTTTCTCCAAAGTCAAAAAAAATTTAGTTTCTAGTTAGCATATATTTTTCAGATTTCTTACTGAATTGAAATAAGTAAAATTTATACTTTTCAAGATGCTTTAATAAATTTTGAATTTGTAGGGGTATTTTTATAATTTAAAAATTTTGGAGAATAATTTTTACAAAGTCCAAAAACTTTTAGGTGCTGGTTAGCATATGTTTTTTAGATTTCTCTACGAACTGAAATAAGTAAAGGATTTAAATTATATGAATCGTATCTATATTATCCAATAACATGTTAAGTCTAATTATGAATAGAATAAATTATTTGGTTACCAATTCAAATAAGATAAGATAATTAGAATAGATTAAGATAATAATGTAATATTTAAAAAAACCTAAGGGTAATATTGGCCATAGAAAGATTTTCCCGAACTCGTACTTTTAATTAAATGGTGTATGATGTTTGGAAAAAGCTTTGTAAAACTCGCTCCAAAACTCGCTTCAAAACTCGCTTCACAACTCTTTGAAGGTTAAACGCTTTGGAATTCAAGAGTGAATCTATTTATCCTTTGAAGCTTATGCCTCATTGCTTAAAGCATAATTGAAGTGTGCGCTTCATGCTTCATAAAGCACTTTTCTTTTGAAGCACACGTTTTAGACAAGATAGGAGGGTATAAAAGAATTTTTGACTAACATTAAAATGCCCCTATGTCTTTTCAATATGACAATGTGAGTATAAATGAAATATGTATGCTATGCATGTAGCTTAGTTTAGTATGATTCATTTCTATATTTCATATATTTTATTCTTATTTACTAATCAAGACATGAATGTGTATTTTTGTAAATTATTATACCACTAAATATTATATGTTAATAACTTTTACAAATCTAAAATTAAAATACTTAAACTTATGAAGCTTACGCCTCACGATTTGAAGCTTACGCCTCGCCTCATCAAAGGGTCTAGCGCTTCACCTTGCGCTTCTACTTTTTTAAACATTGATTTAGACTATCAATCTACCATCTTATGTGTGCCTATTTTTTGCGTGTCTTCGTTTAATCGTTTTAGCGTGAAGATGTTGCATGACCTCAATTTCCCGATCTCAAAGGAAATTGAAGTCGGACTAAACCTGCTAGCAAAATTACTCAAAATACAATGAGAAACCATAATCGTCAAATGACTAACATATTTTTCTCTCGTTAAATGGATCAAAAAGCAATAATAAGCATCCAATATGAAGAACAGTCGATATCAATCAATGAAATAACATTGTTATATATTCTCCCTGTTAAATCTTAAATGTAAATCCAATCCAAAATAAAAGAAAAACCCAAGTATTCAAACCATTCCAAATCCAACTAAATAATAAACATTTATTCAAACCTCTATTATTTTTAATAGACTAATAGGATTGCTTGATCCTTCCTAAAATCACGAAGCCATCAACTCCACATAATCTAACAATTCTTGCAATTAATGTTTTAAAAAGCGATCTGGGCGCCTGTTTAGGCACCCACCTATCCTTAAGTCGTACTTAGGTTGCTCACTCAGGTTTTAGGAGTGCCTAAGCGTGTTGCATTAAAATAGGCATATTGCTCTTTTAGCCATAGTAAAGATGAAGAAAATGAGTCTTAAGTCAAAATGAATTAGTTTAGAACTCTTATCCAAATCCATCTTAGGTAACGGTCAAGGATAAAATTTTGAACGTTTGAAAAGATTCCTTCCTCTCTTGATGCTAAAAACACCTAGTGTGTTTAATAAGCCCACTTAGGCACCTACGCTATAGGCACTTGGTCTGGCACCTAGAAATGACTAGTGTTTTCAAAAACATTGTCCACAATTGACTTTTCAACTCCCTCATCTCTGCAGATGCTATGCAGTAAGGTGTTTTTGATCGTTCATGTTCCTGGAATTAAATCAAAAGTAAACTATCTCTCTATTAGGTGACAATTCTGAGACAATTATTCAAGAAACACTTCAGGGTATTCTCAAACATTTGGAATTGCACCCGTGCTAACCTTCTTCTCGGTGCTTACTACACTGACAAGATAGTTCTGACAACGCTTTGTTAAAAATCTACAAGTTTTCATGGCTGAAATGACGCAGAGAGACACTAACACCCAAGATATTCCTTTAAGCAGATTCATTAAGTTGTTTATGGAGAAATTTTTTCCTTTTTTTTTGAGTCGCAAAAAGAGGGATTTCATTAATTTGAAGCAGAATGATAAGTTGGGAGAGGAATATGAAGCCAAGCTTGATGAGTTGTCTCAGCATACTTAAGTTAGTAAAAGATGAACTTGGTAAGATGGAATTGTTTGAAAATGGACTGAGGTCAGAAATCAATAAGAAGGTTACTATAATCTTATTGAAGACCTTTGAGGAGGTAGTAGAGATAGCTAAAAGAGAAGGTAAGTAAAGAAGAAAAGATTATAGATGAAGTACACAAACTAGTAGAAGTGGTTGAGAGAGAGGCATGTAGGGAGAGAAATAAGCTTCTAGGCTTTCTAAGATGCCTGCATTTAAAGGAGCAAAAGTTGTAGCATAGAGATCTTGACAGTTTGATCTACCATGTCTAGAACCTCAACTTCCAAAGCGACCTCCGCCACAAGTCTGCCTAGTTCTGCCTCCACAAACTCTTGAATGTGTATTGTTGCCTCTATTATGTAACCAAAGTTAAATTCTCTTCTTACTCCTTCTGAGAACTGAGAAGACTTGGGAAAAATATCACATAATGAGTGATATGTATTTGAGAGCGAACTTGCACCTGTAAGAGTGATCACCTACAGTCTTACCATTTCATACTCCTTTAGAAGTCCTCCAAGAAATATCAGAATCTCTAACTACTCTTATCATCTCTGCAAATTTTATAGATTAATTATTGTTCTAAAAATAGGCTGATTTTATCGATTATCGCCGATATATAGAGTTTGACACATGATCGATATGATTTCTGCAAAAATTTATCGCATACCATTTTTTGCTTATTTGTCCCTGTGTATCGGTGTAAATTTGATAAAGCGGCTGATTTCTCAAGGGTTAAAATCGCCTGATTTTTTACAATTCACATTCTAAGTGAATCGGTTCAAGTTTGGAGGCAAAACCCTTCTTTTTCCATAACCGACCCGCATCCACTAAACAAAAACCATGTTATCTTATTCTATTTTACATCCGCTCATTGTGTAACCCAAATTCTCTCCGCCTTCATTATTCTCTCCCGAAATCGCTGGCAAATTTCTCACTCAAAAGACCTCCATCGACAACCTCTCTCGAAGATTCTCTCTCTATATTTCATTAAATGTGCTTAGATTACATTTTAGGACATTATATTATATATGCTCACTTATGGTACTCCGATTTTTACTACTTATCCCCGATGTATCCCCAATAATCAAGATCTAATATAAATTTTGGTTGTCCGATATATTTTCGATAACTGATATTTAAAACATTGGATGTAATGGGAAAAATCTCTCAAAGCTCAACTTGGAGCTTGTTAATCTCTATATAATACTTATCCAAAATTTTGCTACCTAACTGACATCTAGAAAACTCTAGTGAAACAAACTAGACTTGTGTCAAACTACTCTTCCTAGAGTAGGTTGACTCCAATGAATCTCTTAATCCCTTCACCGTGGTACAATAAAGGACTAGATCTTGTACTTCTCCATAGCAGTCAATGACTGACTTAAGAGCTGATTATCATCTCCATCCCACTTTGTTTGCTTTCCAGAAAGAGATTTTCCTGTCAAGTGATCCTCCTTCCCTTGCCCTTCCAAACTAATTAATTCAAACTACTCAAAATGAGTCTCTTCCACTACACATAATTACTAGCAAACAACTTTCTATTACAAAACTTATCGATCAAGTATTCTGAAATAATGACAATGTAACTTCTCTATGGTGGATATAACTCCAACTCTATCACCTACCAAAAATAAATTCTAAGCCAATCCAAACTTGTACCATCACCCTACCACCTTTAAAAAACCAAAAAAACTAACTGAAAACTCTCTAGTACCTGATTACATGAACAAGTCCGAACTTCAACACTATCTACAATGAACAATTCAAAAACTCCAAAAACTCATCAACATCTTTCGAATGAGATCAAAGACGTGTTAATGCTCAAATAAATATGGGCATTAATACGTCAAGTTAAATGAGTTGTGAATGCCTTTATAATATGTTGTTAATGCCAAATTTTGAGGCATTAACGCCAGTATAATATGGGCGTTAATGGGTTTAAATAAAGAGTTAATGCTTAATTATATGAGCGTTAATCTCCATGAAAAAACTGCTCAAGCGAGCTTGGTGCCAGCGATGGCAGATGCTTAGTGGTGGTGGCCTCAAGTAGGGGGCACTGACGACAAATTGGGGGAAAGAGGCTGATAAGTGGAGAGACTATAATTTTATGGAATAAGTAATTTAATTTTATGGATTAAGTTATTAAAGTTTTATTTTGAGAACCATGACTTTGATACCATGTTAGCAGTCAAATAATTGTAGATTTTCTTTTTTTGCTTAAAGCTACAACTACTCCCTTTATGTAGGGATACAATTCCAAAGAGTTTTGTGTTTTGTAGGTAATGTGAGACTAAACTCAATTGCTTTAACACTCTTAGTCTCTTAATCAAATTTCTAATTTCTCTTAATCACCAAGTCTACATCTTAGTATTCTATCATAACATTTTGCACTTCTGAATTGGGGCCACTTCTTATGATCAAAATGTCTTGATCTTTATATTAGAGCTCCTAATTTTTGAAATGTAGGCCTCTTAGAAGGTCTAAAAGCTAGTTTCTCTCTTAATGCCCTCGTCTTTAGACTGCTTTTTCTGATCCCAACTTTTGTATGCTGCTTCATTTGTAGTCTTTTCTCTTTTACTTGCTTGTTTGGCCCTTTAGCTATCTTTGCTGCCTTGTCAAAAGTCTTCGACAAGGCTATAGTAATCTTCTTATATGTTTCTGGCCTCAGGCCTTTTTTGAACATCTCCATCTTTGGATTTTCTCTTCTACCAGCTCAGGTGCATACGGAGGCAGCTCATTGAATTTGACTTCATATTCCTCTACTGACATATCATTCTCTTCAAATCTACAAAATCCCTCATCTTGTGAGCTCGAACATAGGAGAGTATTTCTCCCTAAACAACTTGACGAATCTGCTCTAAGAAATATCTTGTTTCAGTCATGCGAACCTCTAGATTGTTAAGGGTTGTCATTGTTTTGCCAGTGTAGTTAGCATCGAGAAGTATTAGGTTTGCTTGTATGTAATTTCAGTTGTTTGAGAATGCCCCAAAGTGTTTCTTGAAGAATTACCAGTGTTGCTACCTGATAAAGAGATTGAGTTTGCTATTCATTTAGTTACAGGAACAGGACTGATCTCGAAAACACATTAACGCATAGCACTTGTAGAGATGATGGAGTTGAAAAGTCAATTGCAGGAATCATTAGACTAGATGGAGTTGATGACTTCGTGATTTTGGGAAGGATCAAGAAATAATACTAGTCTTTTTATTTTTGGTAGAGATTTGCATAAATTTCTATTATTTAATTGGATTTAGGATAGTTTGAATAACAAGGATTTTCTTCTATTTTAGATTGGATATATATCTAGTACAGAGAATATATAATGATGTTATTTAGTTGATGGATATGTACCATTGTTCATGTTGGATGATTATGTTTGATTTTTGATACATTTTACGAGAGAGAAATGTGTTGGTTATTTGACGAATTACGAATTTGATTTTAGATTGTATTTTGAGTAATTTTGCTATCAGGTTTAGTCCGAGTTCAAGTTCCTTTGAGTTTGGGATAATTGGGGTCGTGACAAGATGTATGTTAGCTTAGCTTCCTGATTAACCTACTAATCTTCATGGATACTATAATTTTCCTTTTGGTGTATCATCTTCTGCATTATCGTTTAGTAATGTGAAAAGCTTAGTTTAGAATACTATGTCCAATTTTCTATTCGCCTTTCCATTTGATGAATATGGATCCCATTTTTTCCTGTTATGCATCATCGATTTTGCTCTGTTCACTTTCAGTTTCCTCTTCCTGTCACTCTTATTAAGATGGAGAACCTAACCTGGTTTTGGCATTTAGTCACCTTTGACCATCTTGTGGCTTGCACAACTTCTTTTGTTCTTAAATATTACATCTTGAACGACTTCAAAACATACCAAGAATCCTTTTGTTTTTATGTTCTTGTTACTGTCAGTTGGAAGCTTTAGTTTGTTAAACCTTCTTAGTTTTAACTTCTAGACATGGTTATATCTTTTGAAACTGCTCATATGTATTGGTGATGCATTTCTTTTCCGCATGTTTCTAAGTATATGGTTTTAGGCCTCCTCGCTCCTACTTGTTGAACCCAGGTATTGAGATGTACAAAATGTATTACTTAGCAAATCGTTTGAATGCAGGGAAAAATATGAGGATTTGATCAGGCAGTGTCAAGGTATGCACTCAAGTATTGGGACTGGCAGTCTTGCTTATGTTGTTGGGTCTAAAGTGATGGATATGAGGACCTCATCTAAAGATAATGACATTAGAGAAGCAGCAACTGAAAGTGGTCGGGCTTCTCATGATACTGCTAACACAGTAGAGGCAGATACAACATATTCTCATGTAAGGAAGTGCTCAACCAATCTGACAGAACTTGTCAGTGTCAGGGCCAATGCCGAGAGTGCAGCATATGATTCTTCGTACGTTCCCTCTTCTGGGGCATATGATTGTTTCTCAACATCACAGACAGAAATGCATGAACCTCAATATTTAACTGAGAGTTTGTTCAATTTTCCTTCTCTGCCTTTTTCAAATTTATTCACAAATGCTGATAATGATATGAATGGAGTTGAGATGCATGATGGTGGGATATCTGTTTGTGAACATCCACCAAGATATGATGATGAACACATGCATAGTTTTCAAATAAGCAACAACGTAGATCTGATTATGGAATCAAATGCTTCGTCCAATAGTTTGCGTGTCAGCAACAGTGAAAATGAGATCTTTCGTCCAGATGTACTAAATAATGTGAGTGCTTCCAAAGAAATGAAATGTAACACTGGAACAGTTAGTGGACTGCGTATAATGGATGCTCCTGAAATAGCTAAAATTGATGGAACTGCATCAAATGGAAACATAGGCGGTGAAGACAGAGTTTCTGAATGGCTATGGACACTGCATCGAATTGGTAATATTCTTATGTGTTCTAATTTCAGATAATATTATGATTGCTTCCTTTAGTGCTGGCTTTTGTTCAGATTTCTTTAGTGACAATCCTGGATTAATGCCTGTATTTTCAGTTGTTGATGTGGTGAGAACAGATAGTCACCTTGAATTTTATGAAGATGCAAAAAATATGGCTAGAATGTCCGATATTCTTGCTGTTTATGCATGGGTTGATCCTGCAACTGGATATTGTCAAGGTTTTTCTTTAAACTTTCTTATCTTTGTTGATGTTTTATTTTCATGGGTGTTTTCTTGAGACCAATAAATCAGTCCTTAGTTTTTATCCATTTCAGTTCATACTAATCTTATCCACAACATTTCTTTATAGGTATGAGTGATTTGCTTTCACCTTTTGTTGTGCTTTACGAGGATAATGCAGATGCCTTTTGGTGCTTTGAGATGCTTCTACGGAGAGTGGTAATCCCATGTACATGTCATGTGCTGCATCTGTCCAGCTTTTTTCTTTCTTCGTTTCTTTTTTTCTCATGACTGCTTATTTTGTTGAAATCTTATTCTGGTCTCCTTCATAGCGTGAAAATTTCCAGATGGAAGGACCAACTGGAGTTATGAAACAGTTGCAAGCATTATGGAAGATATTGGAATTAACCGATGCTGAAATATTTGAACATCTTTCAGCTATTGGTGCTGAAAGCCTTCACTTTGCTTTCAGGATGTTGCTAGTACTTTTTCGCCGGGAGCTTTCCTTTACTGAGGCCCTCTGCATGTGGGAGGTTTGTTCTTGAAGACTATTATTTAAGAGGTGGTTAAATGCTCTACATATTTCTTGTGCTTCAGTGGAAAAATATTGAGTTTAAGCTAAAATAGGAAAATATAGTTATGAATCCCATGTCTAATGTTGACTACTTTATCTCCAAAAACTGTCTGTTGAAAGTTTAGTAAGTTGATGTAAGAAGCTTTTGTGTCAACAGCAAAAAGTATGGACCACATAAGCACAGCAATTTCAAAATTCTCACTCTCGTTGCCATGGTTAGTGGTATTAATATTAAATGTCTGACATTTGCCTATCTGCAGGTTTATTAGGTTACTGTAAGTTTAATAAATTGATTTAATAGATAAATTGTCTAGAATACTGGCAATTCACAACATGAATAATCAAAATGTATTCAAGAATTAGCCCTCTTATAACCAGTTTAGCAATATTTAGGTAATGGTTACAGAGTTGTTTAGTGTGCACCTTATTAGATTTGTTACGTGTGGGCATCTAAATCTTAATGGTTAAAATATATGACAATCTTGTATGTAGGCCCAACCTGCTTTGGGATTATGGTTTGAGGAGTTACACAGTTAACATTGGGTCATCTTAGCATTAAAATCTGTTACTGTCTCAAACACAGGCCCATACACCGCTTTAGAGGTTATTAACGCTCTATGTAGCTCTTCGCCATGTCATAAGTAGCGTATATTAACTAAGAATTGTAGCTCCGAAATGGTTAGATTTTATTCCTTGCATATCTCAATAGACATGAGCCTACTTTTCATTATTAAAGAAAGCGCTACAGTTGTAAGTTTAGTAAATTATTAAATTTATACCCTTTTCTCGAGATAATGCAAAAGAGCTTCAGAATAGGATCTGTTCCTGTAGAAAGCGAGAACATGGATATGACATGATACCAACACAACCAAATGACAAATTCTGAAGAAGTAGGTTACATGGTTGCGGCAGCAAGACTACATATCTTTATGTGTGCCTCTATATATACACATGAAATTTCCTTCTTATTAGGATTTCTCTAAATTTGAAAATGGAAAGGAAACAAATAAACCCTTACCAATTTAAATGTCTTTTAATAAAGTCATGATAATACCATAGTAAATTTGAAAATAAACCCAATACCTGGCCTATTAGGTGCTACATTCTGCTGACATAGTCTCCTGCTTATGCTTAAGAGTCTTTTTCTATGTTCGATCAGCAAATGGCTTTAAAGCATCCGGCATGCATCAAGCACAACATTTTGGTGTTGGCAATATGTGTCGGTTGAACACTGCGAATTTTATGTCTTCATAAGATGGAAACAGAGAGGGGGACTCACAGGCTAGGTCTGATACATGGAGGAAGTTTATAGTGTCATCATGTAGGCCTCCAACTAACTGCCTTCTCTCTAATTTTGACCTCTTTGGGCTAGCTTCATCATGGTTATTTAATAATTGTGCTCATTTCAAACTGACCTTTGCTTTTATACTTTTAGCCTTTTCGTAACTAGGTTCACTGTGAATATTTACAACAACAACAACAACAAAGCCTTATCCCAAATATTTGGGGTTGGCTACATGAATCCTATTCTTCCATTCCGTTCTAGTATGGGCCATCTCCTCCGTTAAGTTAATCATTATCATATCCTTCTTAATTCCTTCCATCCAAGTTCACTTTGGTTTGCCTCTAGATCTCTTGGTCTGCCTCTAGATCTCTTTGCCCCATTAACTATAATATTATCATTTTTCCTAACAGGTGCACTAAGAGCTATCCATTGCACATGATCAAACCGCTTAGTCGATTCTCTCTCATTTTATCCTCAATAGGAGTGAGCAATCACCCAGAATATTTATAATCCCCTGAAAGACGATTAGAGGTCAGTTTCGATCCCATGCACAGGTGAGATCCAGGTTGGTTTAAAGGTCAATCAGGACCTCTCTAGAGTTAAAATCATTTGAAATACTCTACTCCATGCGGAGTCCAGTTTTAAGCGACACTTGCGAGCCAAATCCCACTACCAGGTTTAAGCTGTGAATCAATTTGACTCCCTTTAACCCCTCATTGTTATCCCTTCCTTTCCTGAATATCATTTAGCAAACTGATTGCTTCCAGAGGCTACTCTCTATCAAATGGTGCACCATATCTCTTTTGTGCATTATGAACTTTATCAGTATGAGTCCTTGGTTTTTTGAATTGGATGTGGAAGCATGGCATTTACCCTAGAGGGCTTTGTGTGGTGTGTGATTTTTTTTGTGGGCGTTGGGGGGGGGGGGGGGGGGTTGGCTTTGGTGTTATTCTTGCGCTAGTTTTAAGTAATCTGTAGTCCTATTTTACCTCTTGCTGTACTCTATTTTAAGCATCTTGTGTAACTTTGGTGCAATGTTAATGCTTCAATTGTCTCTATGACACACTGGGTAAAATGACCCTTACATAGTTAATAACTAAAATTCCTTTTTTTTCTGGGTTTGATCTCACTGATGATGAATTGCTGGAGGAACTAATTCCAACAATTTGACTCATTCTTAGTTCCTGTCTTCTATGGCTGCATTGAGATTGGATTGATCTTTAATTTACTGAGTACTGATTTTAATAAGTTCCTTAGTTATCAATTTCAACGGTTAGCACCATACAATGATAAATATGCAGGAGAATTGATCAAGGTGGTTTGACCATATGCAACAGAGGCAATAAAATGCACCAATTAAGAGGTACCAAGATTGGAATTAATAGAGTAAAGAGAGTAGCGGTGGCCCTTAGAGAATTGGCTATAAGCTGTTAAGAAGGATGCTATAGCGGTTAACATAATTAAGCAGATAACCCTAAATAGAACTGAATGGAAGAATAGGATTCTAGTAGCCACACCAAAAAATTCGAGAAAAACACTTCTTTGTTGTTGTAAAATTCTGCAGTCATGTTGACACCCCTTTCTTAGAATATATTCTTTGTCGATGCACATGTATCCATAGATGTCAAATTGCAATAAATATGATAAAGTTCGGAGCATATTTATGTAACTCTTGCTGTGATTACATTTCTAATTCTGTTTTACTCTCCAGATGATGTGGGCAGCTGATTTTGGTGAAGCCATGGCGCAGCAATTAGAGGAAAATTGCCTTGAACCATTAGTTCTTCAGCTACGGAAAAGTTCAAGCGCAGATTTGAGGGAAGGAAAAAGTGAAAATGGTAAAAGAAAATATAAAAGTCCCAAACGTGAACAGGGTCATGATGATTCTTGTTCACCCTACAGCAATGGGTTGAGATCCATCTCAAATCACCCATTTTGTGGCTTGACAAAGGCTACTTTCTGGGTCAAAGACAATCAGCTCCATGGCTGCACAACAGCTGGATCAACAAGAAATGGGGACGATGAACTGCCTGTGTTCTGTGTTGCTGCAATTCTTATCCTGAACCGTCAAAAAATCATGAGACAGACTCGTTCCATTGATGATGTAATCAAGGTTAGTTCAAGTTGCCCCCGCCCTCCTCCCCTTTTTTGTACTTTCTTTTCATTCTTTCAGAACTTTCTCAACTTGAATAGAACATCAACATGTAAACTGGCAATTGTGCTGAATAAATTTCATTTTCCATTAAACATTAACAAATGTCCAGGGAGCTATAGCATTTCTCTGTTATGCAGGGTTTTATTCATTAAACATTGTTTACTTGTTGGTTTACTTTGACCAAAGTTGCAAATGTTGGGCAGTATTATTTTACTAAGGATGCTCCTTGGCCATAAGTTTCTACTACCACAATAATAATGGTAGCAACAATTAATCCTTTATAATATATACTAGGATTCAGCCTTATAAAATTATGAATCTTTTTCCCCCTTCAGCTCCACCAAGGACCATATCCATTGTAAATACGTTAGTATTGACTATTATTTATTATTAGGGCATTTACATTCATGATTTTGATAAATTATTAGAATTATGATTCTGTGAACGACAAAGGAGAATGGGAACACTTTTCAAGTGCCTGATGTTAGCCTATGACAATGCTATAACAGTGCTCTCTGTTTAATCTATTTCAGATTTTCAATGATAATGAACTGAAGATTAAAGTGAAGCGCTGCATACGCATGGCTATCAAACTACGGAAGAAGTACTTTTACAAGGTAGAATTTAAATAGCTTCATTTACATGTATTTCACTCTTGATAGGGCCTGTTTTTATTGACTGTGACTTTCGTTGTAGCTACTTCACTCTGTGACATTTTACGTACCTCTGTTTTTGTTATCATATAGTTAATTTGTTGTATAGATTTTGCATATACTTCTACGGAATTCACTATGTTGGTGGTTTGATCCTTAATAAGAGTTCATTGTTGTTTGGTACAGTTAAACAAGCAAACAAGCATGGGGACTCCAGATCAAAGATAAGAAGGGGTAGGAAGTGTTTTATGCTTTATCTTGTATATTATTTTGTGGAACTGGACCATCGCACCCACCAATAGCTCGGAGATCTGCACCTTCCTTGCTACTCAAGCACCATGCAAGGTTAGATGATTTCATTTGTATGGGATTTATTTCCCTTGTTAAGTGAATTTAAATTGATTTGATTTCTGTGATACTTGACCTTTTCTTGGTTTTTGGAGGTTTTATACTTGCGGAGTAAAATACTTTTCCTTGTCAACTTATGACCATCTTCCAATTTCTGGGTTAAAACATCATAGGTTGTGGTTGTATTTGGTATTTTGAGTATAAATGAATCGTGCTGCTGTCAAACTGAAAGTTGCTTAAATTTCCAGTTTGGCTCCAAGTTCTAAAGGCTTGGAGCTGTATCTTGTGGATATTGTTTAGCCACTATGGATCCAAACTCCTGAAACCAACATCTTACGTAACTGGTAAGTTTACACATTAGTCTTAGTTGTTGAATCTATGTTGAAAGTAACTTTGATATCTGCAAGATCTATCTAGGCACACTTAAAAAGGAAATCTCTTACCAGTTCAGTTTCTTCACACTCAAAAAATGGATCTTTTTGTCACAAGTTACTTCACGAGACCTATTGACCCATGTTAAATTTATTTCTAAATTTTCTTTTAAATTTTTGTTTCTAAAATCGGTAGTCTAAATATCAAAAGAATGACTGCTGGCTTGTCAGATTTGGCTGGCTTATTTGTTAACCGGATCAGTATTTACTATGACCATTTCTCTCACCATATCACATTAGTCTTAGTTGTTGAATCTATGTTGAAAGTAACTTTGATATCTGCAAGATCTATCTAGGCACACTTAAAAAGGAAATCTCTTACCAGTTCAGTTTCTTCACACTCAAAAAATGGATCTTTTTGTCACAAGTTACTTCACGAGACCTATTGACCCATGTTAAATTTATTTCTAAATTTTCTTTTAAATTTTTGTTTCTAAAATCGGTAGTCTAAATATCAAAAGAATGACTGCTGGCTTGTCAGATTTGGCTGGCTTATTTGTTAACCGGATCAGTATTTACTATGACCATTTCTCTCACCATATCAGATCATACTTGTGAATAAGCCTTCATATAGGCGGATTGAGAGCTAGAAAAATGGTTTAAAAACTATAAAATTCTCTAGGTATTGCTTTAACCAAAACATTGATATAAGAGAGGTTTTTTGCTAATGAGGAATAACAGAAAATAAGGGAAAATTTCACAGAATACCCCCTTAACATGCGAAATGCCAACCCCATCTTCAGAAAGAGCATAAAAATTAATCAGCCCTCCCAACCAAAAAAAAAAGAAGATAAGTATAATTGTCAGGAAGCCCTCCGAACGTATGGTGTTACTGGGTTTGTGAAGACCCCATAAGTGTGGGCATTTCTGAAATAGCCCCCTTCAGGTTTTCTCAGAAAACCCCCAAGTTAATTCCTTTAGGGGAGGTTTTTTTTTCAAATATTTAAAGATTCTTGGCTGTTTGGCTGGAATTTGGGTAATATGCCCTGGATGACAACTTACATGTCCAAGTTTGGATTAAGACTATCAGTGCATGTTTCTATTCATTCTTCATGGAGATGCACCTCCTTTGTATATTCTGATTTTTTTTTTTAATTCTTATCTTCAGGAATTTGTTCAGAAAGATACCCAAATTTGGAACTTATACTGCTAAATGAAAGTGAAGCAGCATCGTTCTATCCAATCAAAAATTAATCCGAGGCATTGCAGTGGCTAAAATTATTCAGGTGTCTATTTAAGCAGGAATATGTCTGCGATGAGAGATGTATTGAATCTGTGAGGAATTAAGGAAGAAGAGTAAGGCAACAACTACACTGTATGTGCATTCTCTGGAATATTACTCATCAAAAGGAAATCAATTTTTTTAAATATTCATTGGACCTCAGTTGCTCTTTATTATTGCAAGCTTCAGATTATTTATCAAAATCATGTTTAGACTCTTCCCTTGTGCTCTCAGAGGCATAACTTTTAAGCATAATTTAGAAATCAACTAAATTTTCTGAAAAAGAACTACAATTTATCATGATTATTATTGTACTAGTTTTTATGTACGTGCAATGCACGTGGTTAACCATCAAAATTATTTATTTTTTGCTTTATTTTCTTATTATGAATCAATCATATTCCTTTTGAGTTCCCAATATGTAAACCCAGATTATTATATTTGTCATATTTTTTAAAAATATTTTGAAAATTTTGATGAAATGGATTTGTGTGTTAAACTATGGTTAATATACTTCCATATAGTTGTATGCACAAGATCACTTTTTTCAATTTGTATAGATCAAACTTCATGTAATATATTTATTTATCAGATCATTGATCTCCAATATGTTTATTTTTGTTATTAAATATAGTGTTGAGTATGAACAAAAATACAATAATCTGTTGCTGATGGATAAAAAATATAAATAAATTTCATCAAAAAGAGCTTGACTTGAGGAAAAATATTATTATATAAGTAAAAAAATATTTAATAGTAAGATGATTAGTATAAAATCTCATCACAAGACACATGTTTTCCTCCAAAATGCAAGAGATCTTAATTATTGATAAACTTAAATTAAAAAAGTAAAGATGAATGTTAACTCTAATATAATTTTATATGATAAAGCATTTACATAAGCATATAAAAATATTATAACAATTTGCATAAAAATCCCTTCAAAAGTTTTCTAATTTTTCTAAAAAATTTAAGCTATAGTAAAAATTATATATTGTCCTTTATTCCTTTTTTTTCATATCTACTCCTCTATACAAATGGGAAAACTCAAGATTTACTATTTATGCTATAGCAATGTTACAATAGCATTATTACTGTAGCAAACATGAAACTGAGCGTTTTTGAAAAAAATATTACTGTAGCACACGGGAATACTGTAGCGAAGCGAGATGTTGTGCCAATTCAAAAAATTTATTGTAGCAGTTAAAAAACGGGATTACTGCAGCGGGGAAAAAAAATATGTCGTGCTTTGCACAGTGTTCACACTATTTTCAATTGAGCCAAGATCAATTCTTCTCCACATTTATTTTTTTCTGGTAATTCTAGAGTAGTGTCATCATTATCTCCGTCAACTGAAGCTGGAATTCTTGTGCTATTATATTTCCTTTGGCTTGCTCATCTTTTGTCTTGTCATGTAACTTTGTTAGGATTTAAACGTCTTTCTGATTTTCAACACAAACTTTCAAAAATATGCACTCTGATTTTTTTATGTTTCAATGAATTTATAATTTTTAAACAATTTAATCTAATCTAATAATATAATTTAATAAGAAGAAAATAACAAAGGCTCATACTTGTTGAAGGAGATAAAAGTGCTGTGAAAATTATTGTAATTTCTTGATCTGAAAAAAAGATCAAACATACAGTATAATTAATTGCTTAAAATAATCTAAGCTAATCTAATAAGAAGAAAATAGATGAAAGTGCTGTGAAAATTATTGCTATTTCTTGATATAAAAAAGATTAAACATACAATATAATTAATTAGTTTAAAATGATCTAGTCTAATCAAATAAGAAGAAACTAACAAAGGCACATACCTGTTCAAGGAGATGAAAGTGCTATGAAAATTATTGTAATTTATTGGCTTATATATATTGGTATGTGATATTACATGTGAGAAGATGACAATTGTAAATAGAGTTCTATTTAAATAATAATAATATAATTAAACTTTAAAACTAATTACTCTAGAAAGAATATTGGCTAATGACCTTTTTTCCCTAACCGTGAGAGGATGAGCTACAATTGAAATTTCTTATATAGGGGAGATGAGAAATATGTTGAGTTTGAAGAAGTTTTGGTCTTTGAAAACATTGTTGATAAGCTTTTCTTTTAAGTGTTTGTATATGCAATGAATCTAGATGAATAACAACATAATGCACGATGAGATGATAAATAGAGTTAAGATTTAAGCTTTCTTTAACCTTTAAATTGTGAGCATTGCTTTGTACCCTTATTTCTATACTATATATATCCAATAAGAATTCATCAATTTCTCAACTTATTCTTACTTAATGGATTAGTATTTGAATCCTACTGATATTTTGGCCTATCGAAAGTCTTTCCCGAACTCGTGTTTTTAAACGGAGTATGATTAATCATTAATTGTGTTAGATGTTCTATTATCTCATGCTTTCAGGGGTTGTCTGGCTGCAGGATTTTGCTATAGGGTTTCTGAAAGTGCCAAATCCTCGCAAAATTTCTCGTTTATTATTCGTGAATCCAAATTTGTGTTTGTTTCAATGGAAAATTGATACCCAAAGCGTTCACATCTAATATTGGTTGAAATCTTTTATTTGTTTCATACAAATTGAGAAGATTTATTTGTTTCATAGAAATTGAGAAGATGGAAAAGATTTAATGGGCTCCACTCCTCTCATTATTGAGTATGGGACATACGGAAACATGTTTTGTTGTTGGAAAGAAAATGTGGTGCGGAACCATGTTTTGAGCCCACACTTAATCATGAGTTTCTGACTAAACCCATGATTATTATGTTAATATCAATAAAAAGAGGATTCCAGACCTCTTCCATTTGAATACAGTTCACTTCCACTATGTTTGGGAGTTTACTAAAGGACCGAACTAAAAATCGTAAGGGAAGAAAAAGAAGGAAAGATAAAATAAGATAGAGAAGTGAAAAAAAGAAAAGAAAAAAAATATAATATTTAGCTCGCTTTAAATTCTGTTCTAATTTTACAATTTTTTTTCTTCACGTAGTTTCAACTTTAGACGTTGTTTGATGATTTTTTGGGCTTTTTTAAGAAGTTTTTTTTTGGGGTTTTCAGACTTTAATTATTGGCTTGTATAGTAATTCTAAGTTCTGCTTATTATACTTTGTTTGTGAACTTACTATGTTCCTCTTTGCCTGATTCAAACTCTTGGTTTGGTTTTTTAAGCTCTATTTAGACAGTAAGGTTTGCTAAAATATTGATTTTTTAGTTAAATCTTTTTAAAGTCAGCGATTCTAAATATAATAATTAATGGTTTTATAGAAAATTTTAGTATAATAATTCGGAAATCAATTATTACCTTGTTATTTCTGAATTTTTAAAACATTTTTATTTAAAAATAGCTAAAATATCAGAGAACGTTTGCTACTGAGTTTACTCAGACACTATTTTGTTTGATTATGTATGTATATAATATGAACAAACAAATGAGACGATTGACAAATGAAATTTTTTGACATGTATAATGAAATAATAAAGTTGTTTGACATCTATCTCTTTGGAATTAATTTAAAATTAATTTCTTTAAACGTGGTTCATTGGCTATTCTCTTCCGGAGGTTTCATTGATTTTTCTCTTTTAAAATTTATACTTTTACTATTTGTACTAAATAAGGGTATTTCATTAATGACCAACAAAATTTTGAATGAAAAATAGTCCTCCCTCTCTCAAAATATTATTGCTTTTATAAATCTTTTTTTTCTAGCTAATTAAATTATCATGTTGGTGGATTTAGTGCAACATGCGCTGTTTGGTTCGTTTCCTTGATATAAGGAAATGCAATTCCATGTAAAGAAATATAAGTTTTGAGTTTTCCAAACTTTTCCAAGAAATATATTGTTTTGCTTTGGTTCGCACATAAAAAATTGTGAGAAACCAATGTATTTATTTTTCTTGTGTTTGGTTCGCATAGAAAAAAAAGAAAAACTTTTGTAAACAAAGCAGAGAAGGAAAAAATCTGACGTGGCAGAGTTTTCATCAATTTCACTCGGTTGGGGAAGGAAATCAGAGAGGGGAAAAAAATCTGAGCTGGTGGAGATTTCAACAGAGTTTTCCCTCTTCCATCCGAGCGAATCAAAGCGGCACAAAGAAATGGACGGAAATAAAAAAAACTGACGTGGAAGGTTAAAAATCTGACGTGGATGGGTTTTCCGAGTTTTCCACCCCTTATAATAGCGAACCAAGCAGCCCAAAGGCAAGGTATTTTTTTATCTATTCAACAAGGTATTCAAACCAACTAGTTTTCGTCAAATCGGTCTAATTGTTCATTGTCAATAATTATGTTGGTGACAAATTATCATGCGATCTTCACTTTAAACTTTTCAAACGGTGATGCGACACAGGATTAATGCCATAACAAAGGTAGCCAGGAATCACTAGGAGGTTCCGGGCTCAAATTAGGATTTACAAAGTGTCAAAACCATTTAAATTATGTCACATGCGGTCACACAATAAATTATACTCTACTCCTTTTAAAAGTACGAGTTCGGAAAAATCTTTCAATAGTCAATATTATCCTTAATTTTTTTGAATATTACATTGTTATTCTAATCTATTCTAATTATCATATCTTCTTCACATTTGTGTTTAAATGATTTAACCTTTTTTAATGTGACTTGACATGTTATTGGATAAAAGAGATACGTTTGATATAATTCAAACGCTTTACTTATTTCAGTTCGCAGATAATTCTAAAAAACATATGCTAGCCAGCATCTAAAAGTTTTTGGACTTTGTAAAAAATATCATCTAAAATTTTTTAAATTGCAAAAACAAACCTACAAATTCAAAATTTTATTAAAATATTTTAAAATTATAAATTTTACTTATTTCAATTCAGTGAGAAATCTAAAATACATACACTAGCTAGAAACTGAAAGTTTTTTGACTTTGGAGAAAATATCTTGTAAGTTTTGAAAATTGAAAACACACCCCTAAAAAATCAAAATTTATAAAAAACACATTGAGAATTTCAAACCTATAAACACAGAAAAAACCTACAAAATAACACAAACAACCTCCAAAAATTTATGGAATTTGCAATAAGCACTCTGAACTTTTTACATATTGTAAAATTTATAAAAATCCTGATAATTTTCAACCTTACAGTACATTAAAAATATAGGAATTATAAATATGCCCTACAAAATTTATAATTTATAGAAAACACCCTTAAAGCTTCAAAAATTACAAACAAATATTCAAAATTTAAATTTTACGAAAAACACCCTCAGAATTTAAAACTCATTAGTAAACTGTAAACATAGAAATTATAAATAGTCTATAAATAATTTACAATATGTAGAAAATGCCTATACGTTTAAAAAATTACAAAAAACCCCTAAAATTCATAATTTATGAAAAAACGTCATGAGAAATTTTTAACCTATGGACACTAAAATGAATATACAAAATTACTAATAACCCCTAGAAAATAAAAAAATTACAAAAAATATCATACTCCCTTTAAAAGTATATGTTTAGGAAAAACTTTTCATGACCAATATTACCCTAACTTTTTTTAAAAGAACATAACTAATTGAAAATCTATTAAATTTAAAATTTATAAAAAACACATTTAAAGTTTAGTACATTTCAAATTACACTTCCAAAGTATGAAATTTTTCCTTGATTTCAATGTAATATTTAATAGTTTTGTGTATTTGTAAATTACAAAATTTTAGGGTGTTTTTTTATAATTTTTAAAACTTTTGAGGGTGTTTCTTTTATCGTTTTCTAAATTTTTATTGCGTTTTCAGTATAATGCATAGACACGTCAATTAATGATGATGTTAAAGAGTAAGTCGTTCTTAAGATGTATTAGGCTATAGTTATGTATGCGCATCACTATTCTTAAGCAGTATAGCTTATATATGCAAAAAAATTCAGACGATCTATATAGTGGTTAAAAGGATTTTGAGTTTAATATACTATTTTTTTATAAATTATGTTTAACGTGAACCCACCATATAATTTTGATTGTGGCCATCATAATTTTAATATGTTTAATTGATAGACTATATATGTATATAGACCATAATTACTTTGCTTTCTCACATGAACTAATATTTGGCGCTTAATATTTTAAATTATTACTTTCAAATTTAATATAAAGAGGACCTCTAATAATATTTTTTATTTACCTATAGGATAATACAATCTCAATTCTTATTTTTTACTTGAGATTTGTTCCATAGTTATGCGTATTAAATTAGCAACTAAAATAATAATTATAAATCCTTAAATTAGGATGATTGTAGTTGATCACTCATTAAGGAATTTTCATGAGGATATATACTTTACTTTCTATAGTTATCTGCACTACCAATGTATATTTTATAAATTAATTGTTAATTTGACATATTAAATTACTTTTCCTTTGTAAAAATTTCTTCTTTGATTTTTGGATTGTGTAATCACTATATCACCATTATAGCGTAGAAATGACCTCACTCTAAATAGCTCCAAGCTAATGTTTGAGTTGAACTGAAGTATATACTATTGCTACTATGTGTATATATTTTTAAAGAAAATCATGTCAACACTTAACCTCTGATATTATAAAAACTAAATATAGCCAATTAAGTGATTAGCGAAATAGAACTTACATAAAAAAGCATGAATAATAAGATAAAAAGGAAAGATAATAGCACTGCCAACAGTACTACGTACCAATAGCAAACTACAATGTAAAGTTAATCTATTTTATAGAGCACAACTACTTGCTATAAGCATCGATGTTTTCATATATATTTTTTATAATTTATTAAAAAGGGCCATATAATTCTATATAATAAAATTGATTTAATACTAAATAGAAATATCGTTATAATAATATCATTAAAAAGGATCATATAATCTTATATAATAATATTGATTTAATACTAAATAGTAATATCGTTGTAATAATATCGTTATTAGAGAAACTTTTTTATGAACAAGTATGTTCTTTACGATATATAAGCTGCACTCTAAATTATTGTGTCTTTTATAGAGCTAAAAAGTTTGAGCGAGCCTCTAACATTTTGCTCTCACAACAGCAAAATCCACTCAGCAGATGTGAATATTCCAAACGAGTTATATGTCTTATATACAATATAATTGTCCTAGACAAGTGAGTTATAATAGCATTTTTCATTCACATCATTTGGGGTAAGATTTGATAAGGACCTTGCATCAAAGGAAAAAAAAACTATATTTAGAGCACATGGCGGGGTGCATCATAATTTCTCTGCTCTAATTTTATAAGAAAATAATTCTTCATACTTTCACTTTTACTTTTATGATGTGGATAATGAGTTATAAAATTGAATGAGAATATTAGATAATGTAAATATAGTGAAACCACAACTAAAAGTTAATGTGAATATGAGTCAAATCATAACTAAAAGTTTAATGAACATATTGTAAGTAAATTCATATGCAAAATTCATTTACAAATTGAATGACCACTCATCTTTTGAAGACTTCAAGATACTAATAAAAAACAGATGTTGTATTAAATCAATGTGTTTATAACTTAGAAATAGTAGATCACGTGGCCACATTCGTGTTGAAAGAAACAATAACAAAAAATTTTATTTTCTTTTTTATTTTTATTATATTTTTATTAATTTAAATAATCATAATATTCAACCAACCACAGACAGTGCATCTCAACTAGTTGGGATCAAAACCATCACAGCGGTAAAACCACTCGAGTGAATGGATAAAAATTAATCAGTTTTAATACCTTGTTGCAACTAACCAAAGAAAAATATCCGGCTCTTAAACATGTTCCACCAAAAAATACCATTATGGTAACTTAGCCCCGCCATTATAGACTTCTATTCAAGTAGAAAATAGTAAATACCGGAGGGCAATTCAGTCCTTTCCAACCCAACATCAAAGACTTCCCAGTTTTATGATATATCTCTCGTGAGATCCTAATCTAATCCATAATAATAACCATAATTTATTAATAAAAAGATTAATTAAAGCACACAAAAGAAAAAATCATAACAAAACAAAAACAAAACTATCTCGAGTTCATTCTTCGCTTCTCCCAAAAAAAAACAAAAAACTCCACCAAGGTGAAAATTTTCTCATCTTTTTCCCCCAATTCTCCTGAAAACCCTAGCTTCGTTCCTCGACGAACAACCCCAATCCCCCCTCGTTGGCGGGAAAAAGGAGTTCTGAGGTCTCACTTCTCGAGTTTTGTTTTATGAGATGGCCGCGAATTCGAACGCCTAATGGGAATCAAGAAAGGGTTAACGGCGGCGGACCTCCTCCGTGAAAGGAGGTGGCGGGCCCACGGCGAGCCCTAGACATGGAAACAGCGGCGGCGACCGGCGGGAGCGAATTCAGCGACGTCAGCGGCGTTGAAGCACGACGCGGGCTGATGCTGGATTGGTCGGCTGAAGGCCAAACGATTTTGGAAGAAGGTCTCGCAAGTGAGTGTTCTTTTTGGGAAAATTTGGGGGGGGGGGGGGTGGGGTGGGTGGTGTTGACTGGAAAGGTGCTTCTTTTTTGGGAATTTGAAGGGGTTTCTTGTTCTGGGGCATTTGCAATGTCCTTATTTAATTAAATCTCGGATTTTGAGTTATTTGAAAAAAAAAATTTCCGCTGGTAATTGTTGTTATGGTGTAATTTATTTCCATTACACAACCTCTTTTTTTTAGCTTTCTTAGCCCTCTGAATTCTTGGCTAGTTGCTGGTTTTGTGTAATATCGATATCTTACTTCATTGCTGTCATGTATAATATGGTTTACTATAAAAAATAGAGATTAAGTTGATAATTGTTATGCCATAACAATCTTAGCTGGAAAATGATATAGTAATATATATATATATATATATATATAATATATATATAATATAATATATATATATATATATATATAATAGTATCATATATATAGTATATATATTATATATATATATTATATTATATTATAATATCAAATTTTTCGCAGTGTAAATTGTTATGCATAACAATTATCAACGTTCTATATTATAATATCAATTTTCCATGTAATTGTTATGAATAACAATTATCAACCTTCTATTCTCTCTCTCTTCTCGTCTCTCGTTTATATATACTATATATATATATATATATATATATATATATATATATATATATTATGAGAATATGGGTATGCTGTACAAGCACAAATTGTGTGCTTGTAGATGAGGGGTGGTGGGCACAATCCCCTCCACTCACTACCCAATGTGATTTGTCCCACATTTGAATGGAAATGGAGGCGGATTTGACACATCACTACCAAGCCACAGTTTTTTGTGCTTGGACCAAGCATATCACCATATTTCTCTCTCTCTCTCTCTCTTAATATAATATATATATATATATATATATATATATATATATATATAATATATATTATACTCTCTTGTGTTTTTGCAATCTGTGGGATGGTTAGTCTTGCTTGGATGTTACATTTTGCTTATTTGCGTCTGCCTATTTGTTTTGTTATAGTATTTGTACTGTATTAAGTGTTGGTATATGAGCTATTTAACAAACACTTAATTTGTGACGCACAAGTCATTTTTCACATTCTTTTTCCCGTAACGTTGGTCTTGTTTCCTTTGAGCTATTTATTACTTAATATTTTGAACTACCCGGTTTCAAGCATTATTATAGAATACAACCACGAGTGAGAAAAACACTTAAACAAATTATAAACAAACTTATATTCTGCTTCAAATCTTCAAACAAACTTATTAGATTAGAGAAGGTGATAGCCAATGTAACTGGCAAATCGGGATTTTTTGAACAAAATAACTTTGGGTGACAAAAGGCGTAAAATTGTTGGTTGCACTAGTGTGAAAATAGAGATGTTTTTCTGGTTCAGTTGTTACTAAATGTGGGTTTTCCTTTTTCTTTCCTTTCTTTTGATATTCTATTTGTGATGACACATGCCTCCATTGAGGTTCATATTTCAACTACTACATACACCCATTTATCACTTTTTATATCATTTCTAATGTTCTTGGACTAATACTGTATGTTCTCTTTCATTGTGGATATCAATTCAGGTTTTCATCTGAGAAACTTCCATATCGTTATGCAAAAATTGCCATGCAACTGCAGGGAAAGACAGTCAGAGATGTAGCCCTACGGGGCAAATGGATTAGTGTAAGTTTGATGATTTTGGATGTTGCACCCACATTTCCATTCTTTAAGTGCTTCTCAAACTTTAAATAACCAATTATAACTATAGTTTATTCTCTTCTTTGCTGCTTGTATATGCAATTATCAAACACTTCTTAAATCAGTGTCTGGGAGATAGTTCGTGTGCGAACAACCATTTCCATTTAAAATGTTATAAGAATCCGACATTTTGAAACTCATTTGAAAATTTCATCATACTGGAAAAGATAGTGGTCTCGGGATACATCATACATGTAACACAAAATGGTTACTTATTGTTTTGGGACCCTAGGAAAGTGTGGTATTTAAAATTGTGGTAAGTCCCCTCATGGATGATTTTCATAGTAAATTCAAGTATTCAACAACAAGTGTTCTTTGTTAAAGTTCTATTTTAATTGGATCACGGAATCACAAATGTTTAAATCTAGTAGATAGAAGTTAAATTGCAAATAATGTGTTTGAGGAAAAGAGGAGGTGGTACCATGTGTTCAGTATCCACTGAGTGGTTGATTCATGCACAGGAGAAGTATGCAATGAACTGAGAATTATGGCCATGATTTTTCTGATGTCTGTTATCAGTAGTTTTGATTTAGTTTGGTCTCAAGCTAACTGAAAGCTCCCTCCCTCCCTATTCCTTGTGTATGTGTATACATGATTTACTTGGCCTCTGATTTTCCCCCAATAAGCCCTTTAAGAGTTATTTTTAAAATGATTGACAGACCCCTTCTTATGAATGTTGTGGATACTCATGAATACTCGGGGTTACACTGTACCTTCTAGAATCGTGGAAGGAAGAAGCTTCGTAGGAAGTTTTATTATGTGAGGAACTGGAGGCTAATTTTTCTCGTCATGAATTATCTCTTATGTTGTTATCAGTAGTTTTGGCCTCAAGCCAACTGAAAACTCTCTTTCCTTCTTTGCATATGATTATAAATTTATAATATATGTCATTTAATCATATTCTGATTTTTATTCCCTGCAAGCCCTCAGTGAGTTATTATTTATGTATCACCCTTATAAACGTTTTTCACTAACACCTCCAGATACAGTCTTTACCTTCTAGACTTACCTTCTAGACTCAGAGAAGGAAGAAGCTTCTTCTGGATATGCAACCCCGTTTTGAAAGGGTTAAGATGATAAACCAATATCTGCTGAACTGTCACCTTCTAATTGTTCAAATGTGATTAATGACCAAACAGGCTCACTGGTCTTCTAATCTTTAAAGCTTGAATGCTCAATAAAGTTTTCCAAACCAATTTGATTCCTTATTTATTATTTTTTTACAGAAAAGGGAAAGTGGGAAGAGGAGGAAAGAGGATCATAACCTCAGGAAAAGCAAAGATAAAAAGGTGAGAATATACTGATGTCCACATGCTATTTTTTGTCTCTAATCATGGTGCTATACTTTAAAGGGAATCTCTCTCTCTTTTTTAAGCATCCAGAAAGTTACCTAGATTCCTGCTTATGAAACATATACTTAGTACAAAATGAATATTTCATGAGGAAGTCTTCTTTTCTCTCTTGAACACTTCTATAACCAATAATTTTTTTGTTTCATCAAGATCTTGTGTTGAGTTATTTACCTAAAAATTCCTGACCAGGGTTAGTTTCATTAAGGAAGCTAGTACAGAGAGCTGTGATCAACTGAAAAAAAAAGAAGAAATTCACCCAACAATGAAATGGGACTTAAATCAATCTTAAAGGCTACCCCAGTCCTCCTTATATTGATGTACTTGAACAGTGCTTAGGTACCAAGATCAACCTCGGAATTTTAGATTTATTTGTTTTCTTTCTTAAATTCGTATGGTTTATGCTAGAATGATTTGTTTCCTACTCCATTCCTCCATGACCATTTATTTCATCTCTTTATTCTTTTGATCATGGGAGTTAAGCAGAAGGGTAGATAGGTAGAGGGTGACAGGCTGCTAGGACCACAAGGTCACTTGAGCATGTAATTTCTATGTATCAGCTATTAATTTTTGACAATTGAGTTTTCAGAAGTAAATGGGGCACAAATGTACATGCATAAGTTTTGGAACAGTGTCTGAGGTGTTTGTGACGCTCTAAAGGGGATGGTTTTTTCTCAAATCCATGTGAAAGATGTTCAAGATGTTAATGCTAAGAGTTGGACACGACTTCTTTCTTACACTGTTTTGACATGTTTTTTGGAGTTTTGTACTTTGTTCACTTTTTTCTTCAAGATCTTTTCCTTTTGAAGGCATGTTTGCAATATTTATCTTTCGTTATTTAGGGGTGTTTTGTCAAGTTTCACAAGTTTTCTCATTTTCATCCGCTGCAAAATAACAGAGGATCTAAGACACTTTATTACTTTCTCCTTGATATAACTAACATTCCCTTTTTACTTTCTGGTGCCACAGAGTATCCAGCTCAGCTCTTCACACTTTTTGGAGACACAAGCAGACATTTATTTATTTATTTATTTTGACAAAAAATTGACACACTCCATCGCCTTACTTCCGTATCAATCAGCTACTTTTAGGCTCTTTTTCATTTGCCAAATAGACCATTAGGATTTAAAAAGGAAAGAAAAGAAGCGAGCATCATGTTGGTGGTGGTGTGGTCAGATGGAAAAGGACACCAAGAAGAGGGAGACAGACATATAAAACTTACCTATTTGTCCATCCACTTCTTGGCTTCCTTTCTTCATGTAACTTGCAGCACTCAATCAAGTATAACTGAAAACACTGCTTCTGTATCCTGCATTATGTGCTCCAAAATTGCTTCTCAAGGCTAAGGCTTTCTATAATTAACTAAGAATTTTTGACTTTTTCTTTCCCAGGAGCGGGTTACAGACTCTTCAGCAAAACCATCATCTAATTTGGCAGCACGACCTAATGTTCCTCCGTATTCTCTGCCAATGCTTCCTTTTGACAATGATGATGATATTTCATACAAAGGTTCAGATATTTATTTACCCTCTCTGTTTTCTATAATTTTATATGATGGAACCAACTATCACTTATAGCTCTTTCAAATTACTTTTTAAAATGTTGAATCTTTCTATTTAGCATGATTTGTCAGATGATCTGGTTGTTAATATATATCCACCTGCATTTTTTGTTTGCTTTTTCTATAGTGAGGCCCAACACATAGTTTAATGTTAGTTTTTTTAATCACTGATGTGATTTCTGGTGAGATGGTATGTTACCTGGGTACTCCAACTGAAGTCGTACACGTACTTGACACATACCCATACCAAACTCCTCAGATACTTCTTGCATGTATGAATATATTTATTCCGGCATGTGCTCACTTATGTAATATATGTTTTGAGTTAAAACATTTCTCATACACTTCTTGAACTCATATCCTACACTTCCCATCCACCTCCTAAAACTCATTGGAGATGGATCAGATTTCGAATCCTACACTTCCCATCCACCCATTAAAACTCATTGGGGATAGATCGGATTTCGAACTATTAAAAGGATCGGTTGAGTGTCTAGTTCAAAATGATGGTTTCCAATCTATAATCCACATAATAACAGAAACATAAATATATTATAGGATTTTTAATTCTCATAGCACGTGAATGAAAAAACAATATTGATCTCATGTTAATTATTAATTTCAATATATGACATATGTATGTGTATATGAATACTTATATACCCGTGTCCCTGTACCCTACGTTTTCCAATTTGCCACGTCCCGTGCCTGTACCCGTACCGACACCTGTATCCATACCGTTTCCATGCAACTTAGGAGGCATGTGACCATTATTTGTTTTAATCCGTTTGCGTGTTTGTTCCTTGTGATGCGTGAGTGTTACTTATTGGAATCCGTTGATGTGGTTTTTCTTGTGATGTGTGACCATTATTTGTTGGGATCCGTTCTGGAGGTGGTCCTATTTGTTGGGATCCATTTTGATCCATTATGTTTAGAATCGTTTAGCTATAGATTTTCTCTCTATACAGATATATGATATTATATTGTATTATGTATATCAATCACTTGTAGTTTAGATGCTACATTCCAGTAAATTTCCAATGGATGCTGATATGCCTTTGCTGAGAATTCCTAATTAGTGTCGTCATACTTTATTGGGGTTCTGTATTGATCTCTAATTTACATCACCAAAAAGCTGCCCATATTCATATCCCAGGAATTTGAAGTCACATGTAATGGGTGTGATTTTTTTTAATAACAAAAATTTTGATGTTACTAGTACTTACTGCATGATCTGAAAAAATGGAGTGAGTCTGACTCTGTAGTAAACAAACAAATAAAATCTTATGCCACATTTGGTCTGCCAGCACAAAAGGGATTGGGTTCCAATAAACTCGAAGTACTGAAAAGATGAGATTCCAAAAATCCTATAACTGGGTATCTTCCTTCCTACTTTCTTATAGGCGAGTGACAATTTATTTCTTTTGTTGAAACTGGTTGCAAACAAGCTGCAGAAACCATTTTCATGAGGAGTCAACGTAGACCTTCTTGCCATGCCTATTTTGTCATTTAGGCTTTGTTGCCTGATGAAAAAAGTTTCAGACTTCTTCTTAAGCATGAACCACCAACGCCAATGCTATTAGTTGAGCTCATGTGTTCCCTTCTACGCCTATGGACTATGGTGTTATTAATCATTGTCAAGTTTAGCATGTGTCAGAAACTAGCAAAACTCTAGAAACAGTAAGAAAACTATTGGGCTACAAGCCTACAACTATAATGTTCATGTTTTAGAGAATTAGTAAAATATCATTGCTTATGCTCGTACTTGCTGCTTTTGATTTACGACATTACAATGGTGACACTCATACTTATGTTTTAAAACCTTTGAAAGTCTTATTAGTATATACATTCAGCATGTTGATATGCCACGAATCTGATGAAAACCTTTGAAAGCATTGATCCTGGACCATTTAGATATAGAAGCCTATTTTAGCATTTAAACAAGGTTTAAGGTTCCACTAGGCCCTGAAGCAGACTGACCAAAAGATTCTGAAGAGACGGCTCTTGTACCAATCAGGATAGGAGTGTTTTTTGTAGTTTCAATAATGCATATAGATCTTCTGTCTTGAGAAATTTTCTGGACTAGGGAAGGTAACTAGGTGAGTGTAGGCTGTCTAAAAATCACAACAGATAGCTGATCCCCTATCAAACACCGATGATAGAAGTTACAATCTGACGACTTTCAGAAGGCTATAATTTAAAGATTTTCACGTAGATCGATGAAGGTTACAATCTGACGACATTCACAATAACCGATGAAAGCTCTAGTTCAACAGCCTTCACAATCAACATCGGGAGTTACAATGTGACGACTCTCATATTTTCAAGGAGCCAAGATGAAGATTACAAGATGACGGTCTTTGCAACGCTCTAGCAAAAGAGATCACAAATTGATGGTCTCTTCACATCAAAACGCAGAGGTCATCCCTACGTTTCAACCTCAAAATGCAGAGGTCATCTCTGTGTTACAATCTCAAAACGCAGAGGTCATCCCTGTGTTACAACCTCAAAATACAGAGGTCATCCCTGTGTTACAACATCAAAACGCAGAGGTTATGCCCACGTTTCAGAGTCAAAACGCAGAGGTAATACCTAGCGCTCCAATTAAAAACGCAGAGTTCACGGACTCAAAACGCGGAGTTCATCTCTGCGTCCCAACTCTGCGTTTCAGATTTACAACGCAGCGCGAACTGTGCGTTCAGCCACCAAAATAGGCCCAACTCTGCGTTTCAAGTCTAAAATACAGAGTTCGGGCCCTGAACGCTATTTTTTAGTGTTTGACTCGTTCAAAGCACGAACTGAACTGTTTCAAAACCGTTTTTTCCACGATTTGGGGAGCAGTTTAAGGGGGTGGTTACACCCCATTCAGCCCTACTTAGGAGCGAATTAAGGGGGCGGTTACATCCCTTAATCCCCTATAAATAGGAGTAAACTCAACTGAGTTCGGAGCTTTTTGCTCTTGGAGTATCTTAGAGATCTAGAGCCGTAGCTTATTAACCGATTTTTCGGTCCAAATCAACTCTTTTTCAAGAGTTTAAACTCGCTCTGAGTTATCAACTCGTTCAGAGTTTCAAACTTGCTCAGCAAGTTCTTCTAAACTCGTGCAGAGTTTTAAAACTTGTTTTGCAAGTTCTCTACAACGTCAAATCGTAAGGAGAAGATCACGTTCCAGTGAAACAAGACGTTCATCATCAACGGAGAGCAAACTCGACGCGAGCAATCAAGGGAGGCACTCCATCGCCATCTTGAAGAACCCAGACTTAAACAAAGGGGAGAATTCAGATCAATTCTCTTCTCTTTTGTAATTAGGGAATTCAAATTGTAATCGAGATTGAGAGAATAAAACATTTAATTCTTTCATTGTCTTTCTACAAATTTTCCACCAAACAGTGAGTAGATAGACATCCACATTTAGAAGTGTATTTGACATGATCTTTGCCAAATTTCAATCAAATGCCTAATGAAACAATTCCTGGTTGTTTAACTAGTGTTCTAAGGTAGCTTGTTTAATTTTATACCAATATAGCTAATTTTTTTCCTTTATTGATCGTTTCAGATATTGGTGGTCGAACAGGACAACTCCTTGAGAATAATGATCAACTATTCAAGAAAGTATCTGTAAACCTGACCAGCTTACAGGTAAAGCACCCACCGGAAATCATTAGAAAACCACAATCACCTCCATGTTCATGTAATAGGCATCATCAATATCATTTATGCATTATTGCATAATAATAATACTGTAGGGTACTGACCAAGACTCAAAGTTAAGAAAGCTTTACCATGAAATTACTCAAATTGTAAGATGGGCTGTTAACCTTGATGCTATTCCCATTGAATTGGTATCTTATACCTTATTGAGCAACTATGTCTAGTAGATGTTAATATTTGTCCAGAAATGCAGTCACAGAACTTAACTGTATCAAGCCTCCAATTATATTGCAAAAGAGTTTAGATGAAGGAATAACAAGCTTTGTTAGAGCAGAATGCATTCATTTTAAAGTCACAGTTAATCCAAAAGGCCAAAAAGAATTGCATTGGTTAATGTGAAACAATTCAAGCACAAAAAACAGCAGATTGCTAGAGCAAAGTAGAAAAATATCTAATCAGAAGTTTTATAGGCTTATTGCCAAAAAGGTTTATTTGCACACAAATGCATGACTATGGGTCCATGTCTGATTCATAGATCGCGCGTAGAAATATTCATGCTGATGCATACATGTGGTTATGGTATGCTAATCTTTAGTTCTAACAGGTACAGGAAAACATTGCACTATTGTGCCAGGCACGAAACAACTTGTTTGCAATCTTCAACGAGTATGTGCTTTACCTTCAATTCTTTTTCCCCTAAAATGCGAGTTTTTTATGCAACACATCTCTAAATGATATAGTATTTATACATTTGCACTGCTATCTACTCCCTTTGCACTGGCTCTTTTATTTGTTTTTCCATAATGATGAAGGCATGATAATTGAATTAACACCAAAGTTGTTGGTTATCCAACATGAAGAAGAGTTCTCGTATATTGCAATTTCAGATATTGCTTTTCCCAGATAAACTCTTTTTTCCCCCATTGGCTTCATTCAGTTCTAAACTTTCTTATTGTCTTGCGTTAAATCTATTATAATTTTCTAAACCTTTGTGCTTGTTTTTTGTTAGTTGGCAACTGACTTTGTGACTCATTAGTGCATGTACATTCATTTAAAAGAAGCAGTCATTTTACCGGAAAACTTGAGAAGTCTCTAGCGACTGGCCATATTTACGAACTTCTCTCCTCACTTACTCTCAATAAGGGTGGAAGGCTCATGCCCTCTCCCTTGGATGGAGAAAATTCCTTTAAAAACGTTTGCAACCTTTCTTGAACTTTTGATTCCTCCATCATGAATAAGCAATTACGTTACCATTCCTTTAAGTTCCTCTCTTGTTACGGCTTTTACTCAGTTGCAAATTCGTCTTGTTACCTATAGTCAGCGATCTTTAAATTTACTTGTAGCATGAGCCATGAAAACCTACGGCTCATCCACTATGTAGCACGGACACGGATCCGACACGGCCATCCGACACGCCGACACGAGGCAAATCCTAAAAAATACATAGGATACGTGTGTTCGACACGTGTGTCCGACACGGACACGACACGACACGTCTTCATGTTATGCGTGTCCGTGCTTTCGACACGTGTGTCCGACACGGACACGACACGACACGTCTTCATGTTATGCGTGTCCGTGCTTCATAGCTCATCCATACTTAACAAATTTGGCTCGGGAAACAAATGGGCTGTTTCCATGTTAGGCATATATTTCACATGTGCAAGAACACCTATCATCGAATATATACTAATTTATCAATTTTGCTTTACTGTAGATGAGAGGCTCATGGATTCTATCCAAGATCATTTGGGTGTTTTTATATTCCGCATCATCTTCATGTTCTTTTACTAATCATCATCAAATACTTGTTATGATGCATAACATCCATTTTGATGCCTAGATAGCTACACGGGTCCTCTACCATTTGCTCGAGAGAAAAAAAATCCCATGAGCTCTATTGAAAGGCCATTTGGGTGTTTTATATTTCTGCGTCGTCTTCATGTTATTTTACCAGTCATCATGTCATACTTGTTATGATTCATAACATCCATTTTGATGCCAATATAGCTACACAGGCCCTCTACCATTTGCTCGAGGGAAAATAAATGTTCCCTAAAGGGTCCTCTATTGAGGAATCATATGGGAAGAAAGCAGAATATGACATGTGTCCTCTTATCATTTTAAATCAATATACACAACTAGCAATCAATAAAAATATGATTGCAATCGTCAACATAAAATTGGTAGGTTGCATTTTTCTTCGTTCCTATATTATCTGTTACAGTGCCACTATATAGGATCCCCCCCCCCCCCCCCCCCCCCCCCGCCCCCCCCCCGTCAATTGTTCGTTGGTCTGTTTGTTTCAAAGAATCACAGAATCACTTTGCTCATTGGTAATACACTTTTAAGGGTAAATTTCACAAAACCCCGGAGAGGTTTGACCCATTTTGAGATAACCTTTAACAATCTTGGAGATCGCTACTTATCACTAAAACCTAGAGATCGATTGGTATTTAAGATGATAGAACAATAATTTAGTAAAAAACTTAAAAATCGCTAAACATAGCTAGTTATTATTTGGACAACACAATTTAAGTTGATAAAGGAGAGTCTGTTTAGAAAGAAAAAAATATAGAGATTTTTGTCAATCGACATCACACAGAATCACATAGAGAAATTGCTAAAAGTAGCTAGTTATTATTAAAACCTATACGATTTAAGTAGATAAAACTCAATAAATCTAGGGGGGAATATATAGAGATCTTTGTCGATCTCACTAGAGAGTTGGAAGGTTCAGATCACACATAATTAACTAAAAAAGTTTTAAAAATCACCAAAACTGCCTAATTGTCATGGTGATACAGTCCCACTTCAAATAAGTAGGGGTATTACAATCATCCCACATCGAATAAGTGGTGATAAAAAAGGTGGTTCTCACCATGTTTTAGTAATAATTGGCTATTTTTAGCTTTTTTAGGTTTTCTAGAAAATTCTGTGGGATCTGAACTTTTCAATGAGATCGATAAAAAAGTTCAATGAGATCGATAAAGATCGTATCTTTTTTAAAAAAAATTTACTCTGTTTTATCTTAAATCGTATATGTTTTAGTAATAACTAATTATTTTTAGCAATTTTTAAAGTTTTCTATGTAATTCTACGATCTCAACTTTTTAGTGGTATTGACGAAGATTTCTATATTCGTTTTCCAAATTGACTTTGTTTTAGCTCGTGGTCTCTTAGTAATAACCATTTATTTTAGCGATTTTTAAGTTTCTTACTACTAAATTTAATTTTTATCATCTGAGATGTCAACCAATCTTTAGTTTTTACTGATAAGTATCTATTTTTAGTATTTTGTAATTTTTTACAGAATTGTAAATGATTATAGTTTTTTTGTCTTCTTACCATTCAGTGAGCTCAATGATCATCGCGTTAAGTGGCTTTAATTAAAAATTTTAATCATTTCCCATAGTGTGGAGTTTCTGGAGAAACATGTTCGAAGGTGTGAATAAACCCCTAACAAAGGTGGAGAAAGTCACTAGATCCTTAACAAAGGAAAGTGTTAATATGAAATCCTAGAGAGATCATTAGCTCTCTCTTAGCTGTTATTTATAGTATTTAGAGAAACAAAGGAGTTTGTCCATAACTAATGTGGGACTAAACAACAATGAGTAAACAACTCTTTCAACACTCTCTCAAGCTGAGCATTTATATCGTATATGCCCAGCTTGTTACAAATAAAATTCACTCATGTTCTCCCAAGAGGTTTTGTGAGAATGTCTGCAAGTTGATGTTCTGATGGTATGTACTTGGCTCTAGATTTTCTTCTCCATCTTCTCACGAATTAAGTTGCAATCAATCTATGTGTTTTGTTATCATGAAACACCGGATTCTCAATTATGTGAACGGTGGGCTTATTGTCTCCATACAAGCTTATGGGACACTCCGAAGGATAACCAATCTCTATTAATATATCTCTAACCCAAATTAGCTCACAAGTCAAATTCGCAATGGGTTGATATTCAGACTCAGTTGTAGGTTGAGAGATAACACTTTGTTTTTTTACTCTTTCATGATATTAGATTTTCTCCAAGAAACACACAATATTCAGTTGTTGACTGTCTGTCCTCAGACGATTCAGCCCAATCTGCATCTGAGAGTCCTGCAACTCTCGTGTGACTACAATCGGAATAGAGTACTCTATTTCCTGGAGTTTTTTTGGGATACTTAAGAATCCTCTTCACAACTTCCATATGAGGTTTCTTAGTTGTCGAGAGAAACTGACTAACTACACTAACAGAACATGCAATATCTGGTCTCGAGATTGTTAGGTAGTTTAGTTTTCCTACAAATCGTCTATATTCTTTAGAATCCTTCAGTAATCCCCCCTGACCTGATAGAAGTTTAATCTTGTCATCCATAAGTGAGTCAATGCCCTTGCATTCTGACATCTTAGTATTTAGCAATATATCAAGCACATATTTTCTCTGAGATAAGAGGATACCCTTCTTCAATCTAGCCACCTTGATACCTAAAAAATATTTTAAGGATTCAAGTGGTTCGAAATTATTGCTGTAGATCTTCTTCAAATGACTAATGTCATGCGCATCGTTGGTGATCACAATGTCGTCAACATATACAACCAAAAGGATCTGTTTCCTATCATGAAATATTCAGAAAACCAAGTGATATTTCTGAGCTTATTAGAGACCAGAAGTTTGGACAACTGCTGCAAAACGTTCGTACCAAGCCTTCGGAGACTGCTTCAAGCTTTAGAAAGTTTTTTTTCAACCTGCAAATCTTACCACACTCCCCATGAGCAACAAAACCTGATGGTTGCTTTATATAAACCTACTCATCAAGAATGCCATGAAAGAATGCATTCTTAATGTGCAGCTGATGTAGTGGCCGGTGATAGCGAGCGACAAACACAATAAGAATGTGGACATATGTCATCTTATCTACAGGAGAGAATGTTTGGATATAATCAATGCCATAGATCTGGGATTATCCCTTTGTAACTAGTCGAGCTTTGAGGTGAACTAGAGAGTCATCTAGGTTTACTTTAACAATATAAACACATTTGCAGCCAATCGATTTTTTCCTTAGTGGTAGTGAAACAAGATGCCAAGTCTTATTTCGCTCTAAGACTGTCATCTCTTCTTGCATTACTATCATCTAACCTGAGTAAAGCTTCTGACAAATTCTTGGAAACCGGATGAGACTCCAAAGAAGATATAAAAGAGTAATATGATGGAGATAACGAAGAGTAAGAGACAAAGTGTGTAAGATGATAACGAGAACATGATCTCCTATCCTTTTGAAGGGCAATAGGAAGACTATTAGTAGGCTGAGCATTTGGCTCTATGGTCACATTTTGCCTTATAGTATATTAGGCTCTTGGGTGGATTTTGGACGATGGCTCAAGTTGTGGAGCAGTACATCTTGTATAAATCTGAACTGGTTTCGTAAATTTGGATAGTAGATCAGTTTGTACAACAGTCTTAGAAAGAACATTGACAGTGATTTCCGAAACAATAAGGTAGTCATAATCATCGGGAGGGTCTAAGGAGTTATCAAAGGCAATATGTCCTGGTTTATTCTCAAAGAATGCAACATTGGCTGAAATAATATACCGATTGAAGGAGAGGCAATTACATCTGTATCATTTGTGAGCCCTAGAATATCTAAGAAAAATACGCCGAAGAGATTTCGAATCTAAT